CTTCAGCAACTTTATGCTGTGTGGACTTCATCTCCCGTGATGGCTGGGGAATTCTGGGAGGTGAAGTCCACATATTTTATTGTTGCTGAGACTAATAAACACCGTGTTACGTGATGGTGAGGTTTTTGTATCCTGTGTATTTCTTAACATATCTATTTTTTTTCACTTTGAATACAATGAATGTCTATTAGCATTCTTTGACAGCTGGATTGAACTTAAACTGCATCCAAGATCAGCAGATTTGTGGCCATTTCCTTTTTGAGTAGGGCGTGCTGCTGTTATTACTTTATCACTTTGCATATGGTCAGGAACACTAAGAGTGGCTACTATGGGATTCAAATGTCTAGCATGTCAGACTGAAATACCTTCGGCTAACCTGACATTTTTTCTTTCTTTTTGAAATCGAACTCATTTATTTTAAAAATAATAATTTTTGAAATAGAATTATTTTGTGATCTCGTTTTCTTGAATGAAACAAATAGAATGAAGATCTAAATTAAGCACAGTACATATTTTTAAAACCTGAACTTGGCTTCTTTACTGCAAATGAGACAACCCAAAGCTTAGATTGGCTTGAATCTTGAATAAGGTTATGTTGCTTGGGGAGAATTCATCAGTGTTTCACGCAGAAACAAGACACCTTCTGTAGAAACATTTTTGTCATTGGAATCTTCTACTATAGTCAAGAGTTTCAGCAATTGAGCCAAACAGCTAACTCAGCCTTTTAGTTTTAGCTAACATTTCTTTGTAAAATCCCAGGGTTGCAAAGGCCACTGAGAGAGGGGAGAAGAGGAAGTGAAGTGAAGTGACTGACAGGTCTATTTCACAGTAAACAGTAATTGGGTCTTTTCAATCACAGTGTTTTGGCAGTGGAAAGTTCGGCCTTATTGTAAGCTTGCAAACATCGGGAAGCTAACATTTTTGAAAGTGTTAGCAGTCTCACTTAGAGCTTCAGTGGAAATGGGTGCTGGATTCAGCTGAAGCCTGGATTGCAACATGAAACACACCGCCAGTACCCATAGATCTCTCCTAAAAACAAACACTATACTCCCTTATCACTGTTCATTTAATACCACACCAAAGAAGAATGGCAAGTGGGGAGGACTATGGAATCCAGTGCTTCAACAAATCAGCTATTAGTTCAGAGTGATCCTTCGGATCAGCTGTTATTGACTATCCTACTCCCAATGTCTAAGGAGGTGGTAAGTTCTTGAGAAGAAGGAGTGAAATCCCCAGCTTCACTATCCACTCCGTGTTTTATAGTCTCTTCTCCAGAGCAGTTGTATGGTGATGTTGGTCAACTTCATTAATTCATTGATGAGCCATTAATGATTTATTTATTTCATGCTGGAAAATCCAACAAGTGTTCCCTCTTACTTCTCCAACAAACAGTTCTTCCACCCAATGAAATAATGATTGGTAATCTCCTGCAATGTGCAAATGGCTTTTTAAAGATACCATGGCCTATTTTTTTTTAGCCCAGGAATAAGTGACAAGGGACTATTTCCACAAAATATTCCTAGAGAGGGAGAGGTAATTCTCTAAGAGTATCTCCAGGAGAATCACTCTCAATGATAATGGTAGTCTTTCTTCTGTGCCTGTTTTGTTTTATGTTGTTTTCATGTGTTCGTTTTCTCTCGGAGCTGTAATTCTCAGCACTCTGGCCACCATTTCATATTTTTTTAGACAATGCCCTAGTAGAACATTATTTGGGGAAATGACATTTGATAGCAAAAATAATAGAGAATATTTTAAACTACATAATTTATGCTTTGGGGGTGGTTGGGAAGAAGAAGAAAACAATAATCTCTCAAAACATTCTTAGGAAAATGGCTTTTGAGATATTTCAATTCAACAATATGAACTGAAATTTCAGTTC